GTTATGTTTATATATTAAATATATTTATATATAATATAAATTATATAAATATAAATATATACATGTAAACACATGCAAATATTTTCTAAATATATACACATGCATGTGTGTTTATTTATATATACATAATAAATATACACAGTACACATGCAAATATTTTCTAAATATATACACATGCATGTGTGTTTATTTATATATACATAATAAATATACACAGTACACACACATATATTCTGTAAACAAAAACCTTTAGCTTGGATGCGATTAATCGTGATTAATCGTTTGACAGCACTAGTTTATATTTTTATTCCGTGGCAGAAATAAGCATAAAAAAAGTGTAAGGTGTAAAATGTCTCGGTTTGGATGTGATTAATCGTTTGACGGCACTAATGGAATTTGACACATTTTGAAATAATAAATGAAGTAGGGCTATACAATAAATGAAATTCAAACAGCGACATAAAAGAGCATCAGTAATTATTAAATATATTATATATAATATATAAATTATTAAAAAGGACTGCTATTTAAATATGAAGTCTCCATGTTCTGCGTGACTTGTGTGAATGAACGGCAGAGTTTTAATGAGCATTTCACCATTGCAATTGAATAAATCATACTGGCATGTCAAATGCTTACAGAAATTCAAAGGTCTTCATGACAATCAGCTAAAATAAAAGTCCAGTTAACTTTATGAATTATGAAATGCTATTAATATATTGTGCATTAATTAATAATATATTATGAAATGTATTACTACTGTAAAGTAAAATCTACTTCTCAAAAGAAATATTAATAAAAAATACCAATTGTTATTATAATAATCATTAGTAGTATTATTCTATTGTTATTAGTATTATTTTATGGCTTAAGAGATTTTTTTTACATCCAAGTTTTAATTTATACAGTAAAGTTCTGTTGTTTAATGTGTAGAACTTTATTCGACCAAAATAAATAAATAACTAAAATAAATAACTAAAATAAAAATGGTTTTAAATTAAAGGTTATATTTGAATTTAACTGCATTTTAAATGATTGATTAATTTGTGAAGTTTTATGAATTCAAGTAGACACGCATTTAATGACTAAAATTGAAGTAAACCATTAAAATGGAATCCAGAAAAATTAACGTAAATCATACAATTTTGAAAATAAATAAATAAATAAATAAAACAAAACATAAAAATAAAAATGGAATTTGGGAAAAAAAATAAAATTGAATTTGGGAAAATATAAAACAAAATTTTGGGGGACAAAAACAAACTGAATTTGGTAAAAATTCAACATTGGGGGAAAAAATTTAACTAAATTTTGGGAAAAAAACAAACTGAATTTGGGAAAAATAAAACTGATTTCATAGAGCCCTAATTGCCCAATGTATATTGAACACAAAAATATCAACAGCATGCTCTAATCTGATTGGCTGCCTTCACAATTTAATCAGAACACACTAGAACTCTCCAGAAGAGCCCACATCTGACCTCTTGTGGCTGATCAAAGATGGCACTGAAATCCCCAAAGCCTCGAGCTCCGGAAAACTCGCCAAAGATCTTGCGGAAAAGCTCCTCGGGGTCGATGCTGCTCCCTCCGCCCCAGTACTGCTGGTGTCCCGCGCCGGCCTGTCCCGCGTCAAACCCAGCAGAGCCGGACGTGTCATACTGGTTCCTCTTCACCTCATCACTGAGCACCTGAGGACAACACATCAGTGCAAAGCAAACTCATTACTCCTGCCGGACACACTGACAGCACAGAGGAAACGCTGCAAACCTCATAGGCCTCAGCTAGCTGTGCAAACTTCTCCTTCGCCTGAGGGTCGTCTTTGTTAGTGTCTGGATGATACTTCTTTGCCATCTGAATCGGGAGAAAACACAAACACAAACTGTCAACTGCCAAAAATGAGACTAATCTAGTCGTCACACTCTTTACTCTAGTGAATATTTCATCTAAATGTGGAAAATGGATCGAATAATAGAAACCTGCTGTTTATTATGTGACGCTTTAGTTTGAATGCCGTAAAAAAAAAAACACACAGGCCAAAAAGTAGATTTATAATACAAGCAAACACAGAAAAAAATTATTTCAAAATGATTAAAAAGTATAATAATGTAAAATGCTAAAAAAGAAATATATATTAAATTATATTACAAATAGATTTAGTACAAATAAATATTATTAAAATATATCAATATATCAAGTAGTGGTCGACCGATATTGGTTTTTTGACAGCCGATGCCGATATCTTGGAAAGCAGGGTGGCCGATATAATTGTATTTATTTTAATTAATATATGACGGCGAACAAGAGGGAGAACGTAAGCACTGTGTGTTCAGGCGCTGCCGCTCTCAGCGCCGACAAAATAAAAGTCCCGCCTCGAACGCATAAACAGAAAAAGTTATCGGCATTGAAAAATGCCAAATATACTAATTATGAGTATGAGTACTAATTATGAGTATAATATATTATACATTAACACAATAGTATTAATGTTATATGTTAAATATTATATATTAATCTACTTCTTTTATACATTATATTATTATTATTATTATTATTAATCAAAATTATATTATAAAATAAACAGTAAACATTTAGGGGAACCCTATATTTAGGATAGGAAAACAATTTAGGATTTTTCTGAGCTGAAAAACGTACATAAATTTAAAATGACATGTAGTTTGTCCTCCATTTGCGTTGCAAACCTGCTGTTTGTTAACAATGATTTGTGAAGAACATTCATTTGTTATATATAAACTACTATTTAGAGTGCAACAGTCACTGTCAAGTATTATGGACTATTTTAATGACTCATTAAGGGCCTTTTTTCTGTTTAATGTTTTATTTTTAAATAAAATAAACAAGAATTATAAAAACTAAACAATACAGCAAAAATAGAAATGATCAAGCCATGTGTATGGCCAATAGAAAATGTAAATAATTTATATGTATAAAATTATAAAATGTAAAACATGCACCACTGCTAGCATTTGTGTAATAATAATTCGGACTCGAAACACGGCTACTAAAATAAAGCATATTTGTGACAACTAGCCCCGGTCTATTCACAGTAAGAAGACAAACACACACTCGCCAGGTTTCTAGTATTACCTGGTAATAAGCTTTCTTAATCTCCTTCTGCGTGGCTGTGCGTGGAACTCCTAGGATCTGGTAGAAATCCTGTTTTCGAGCAGGAGAGCTGGTGTGGAACGACATCTTACAGATGACATGAGAAGAAGGGCTCACCGCTGTGACACACAACACTATCATTACAATTACGAACAGCATATTTACTATTGCTTGATTACAGTAACGTGTAGCAACTACAGCATTTTACAGCAAATACCACAGAACCCTTAAAACCGCTTATAAAACCAATCTACTGCATTTTTGAAGAATTTCTTAGTGTTTCCCAACATTAAACACAGCCCAGTGAATGGTAAAACACAACATACAATACGAAACCAATAAAAGTGTAGTCAGAATTTGCTTTGAAATGTATCTGTTTAAGTCAGGCCCAATTTGTATTAATTAATCAATCAATTAACACCTTAACTGTCACCCCCCATTTTTTAAAATAGGCATGCAGGTGCACTATCCAAACTTAAATTGTTGTAATTTATGAACACTTTTGGAATACAGACATAAGGTTGGTCTCTTTTTAAAGAAGAAAATCAGCCGATTATCGCAAAAGTGGAATGTTTTTAAAGAATTAAAGTATCAAAAAGTTATGCTAGTTTAAATTTACCGTAAAGAAAATGCACTATATAAAATTGTATATATAATAAATATTTTACATAACAGGTTTTACTATAAAATTGGTATAAAATTAAAGCCTTATGTCTAAATAAGTTATGTTCCAAATTTGAAGTCGATATGAAAAAAATTGAGGTTCCTGTGAGATTTTATTCAGGGCGTTATACCACAAACAGCCACCGGGTGCCATCCAAACTCCATTACATTTTTTAATGCATTTTTCTGTCACAAATGTCTAGATTTCTCTGTCAATATTACTTTCTACTAGGGCTGCACGATTAATCGCATGCGATATTTAACGCGCATCTTGTCAGAAAGCCGGTTCTGTAATCAGCGGTAAATCTCCATCACCTGCGTGCTTTCACGTTGAGCAGCATTAACTACACAGAGCCGTTGTTCACTGATGAGCTGCGCAAAACCACGTTCATATTCGCGCGATTTTTTGCGCAGCTCGTCAGTGAACAACGGCTCTGTGTAGTTAATGCTGCTCAACGTGAAAGCACGCAGGTGATGGAGATTTACCGCTGATTACAGAACCGGCTTTCTGACAAGATGCGCGTT